TGCTCTTTCTTATGTTTTATTTATTTCTCTTCATAAACCTTAGCAACTCGAAAATCTTCTAAAAATCGAGAAAAACTTGTACAAATTTTCAATTTTCTTTCTGTCATTATTTCACTACTTCTAGCACTTTTACTTTTTTTATTTATTTTAATCAAAAGAAACTTTTCAGTTTTCTTCTTATTCTTATATCTTATTATTTTTTATTAATCAGAGAAAATGACATAACACATGACCTGCACTTTATCACCCAACTAATTTCATCAGTTTTGATAAATCATTCAATGAAAATGTCTCGTTTGTGTGTTTTATTTTCTCTCGTTTGGTTCAATTTCGGTGTTTTGTCAAAACCCTCGGTTGTTATAATCGGTGCTGGCCCTTCGGGCATCGCCGCAGCCACAAAACTCCTCCAGAATGGCATCCACGACATAAAAATCCTCGAAGCTGAAGACCGAATCGGCGGTCGAATAAATTCCCTCGAATTCGGTGGCGGAATTGTCGATTTGGGGGCACAATACTGTCATGGGGAGAAGGGAAACGTGGCTTACAATCTAGCCAAAGACTTGGACGTCCTCGAGCCAGGTTTGAGGTCCCTCCAAAACAACGTCTACTACTCCAATGGTTCGAAATTAAACCCCGAATTAATCGAAGAATTGCGACAAGTTTACTTGAAATATGACAAAAATGAGGGTTTTGAGACAAAAGGAAAGTCTTTAGGAGAAGTTTTTATACAAAAGTGAGTCCCATTTGTGTTTTTCCTCACTGAGGATGTGTTTTAGATACAATTCGACTCTTTTCCCCAAGTATCAAAACAGCGAAATTGAGGTTTTGAGAGAGGGGTTGAGGTTTTTGGAGGGTTATGTTCTAATCCACGAAGGGGCATTTTCCTGGTTTAATGTCTCGGCAGACTGTGACTATGTCCAATGCGAGGGGAATCAAGCCCTGATCTGGAAAGGGGGCTACAAGACTGTCCTCAAAATCATGATGCAAAACACACCAATCGACTCAAAAATTCACCTCAAAACCAAAGTCGATAAAATCAATTGGAACAATAACCCAGTCACAATTTCAGCCTCAAACCAAACTTTTTCAGGCGATTTTGTGATTTTCACCCCATCTATTGGGGTCTTAAAACGCGAAAAAGACACGCTATTTGACCCTCTTCTACCCCCCGAGAAGGTAAAATCAATCGAAGCAACCGGTTTTGAGGGGGTGATGAAAGTCTTCCTCCACTTCCCCCAAAAGTGGTGGGGTGACTCTGACCAAGCTTTTGCATTTTTTTGGAGCCAAAAAGACCTAAAATTGATATGGGACAAGCCATGGGTGACCCAAATTCGGTACATTTTAAAGGTTCCACACAATTCGAACGTATGGGTGGTGTGGATCACCGGGGATTTGGTCCCAGAAATCGAAAAACTCCCATTGGAGAATTTCAAAATTGGGATGAAATTCGTCTTGGAGCGATTTCTGGATAGGGAGTATAACGTGACCGAAATTGGGGATGTTCTCAGGTCGAATTGGTGCACGAATCCCAATTTTGGGGGGACTTATTCGTTCACTCGTGTGGGGTTTTACGAAAAGGGGGTTTCGCATCAGGAGAAATTGGGGGAGCCTTTGGAGGGGGGGTCGGGGAGACCGGTGGTGTTGTTCGCAGGGGAGGCCACGCATCCTGAACATTTCCAGACTGTTCATGGGGCCATTGAGACGGGATTTAGGGAAGCAGAAAGGATTATTA